AACAGTAGGATATGGATAGATTATAATAATGTTTGTATATATTAAATACATCAGTTACAAACAACAGTAAGATATGGATAGATTATAATTATGTTTGTATATATTAAATACATCAGTTACAAACAACAGCAAGATGTGGATAGATTATAATAATGTTTGTATATATTAAGTACATCAGTTACAAACAACAATAAGATATGGATAGATTATAATAATGTTTGTATATATTAAATACATCAGTTACAAACAACAGCAAGATGTGGATAGATTATAATAATGTTTGTATATATTAAGTACACCAGTTACAAACAACAGTAAGATATGGATAGATTATAATAATGTTTGTATATATTAAGTACATCAGTTACAAACAACAGTAAGATATAGATAGATTATAATAATGTTTGTATATATTAAGTACATTAGTTACAAACAACAATAAGATGTGGATAGATTATAATAATGTTTGTATATATTAAGTACATCAGTTACAAACAACAGTAAGATATGGATAGATTATAATAATGTTTGTATATATTAAGTACATTAGTTACAAACAACAGTAAGATGTGGATAGATTATAATAATGTTTGTATATATTAAATACATTAGTTACAAACAACAGTAAGATATGGATAGATTATAATAATGTTTGTATATATTAAATACATCAGTTACAAACAACAGTAAGATATAGATAGATTTTTCTCTGTTACTTATAACTTCAGATGTATAGCTAATGCACTTATCATTTGCACCATCTGTATTACGAGGCCTGATGAACAGGTAATACACTTTGCTATGTACATTACTATTTCTACTGTTGTTGTTAAGGGCATAGATTGTAACCTGAAATAAATATTTTATTCGTTCGCGTGACTACTGTATATTGTCGATCAAAATATTACAGTTTAGTGAATTCAGAACGTCTGCAACAACATGAAACGTAAATACTACTGCGTGAGCTTTTGTTGCTATTATTTATTTACGATAAACCAAATATAACGGTTTTCTACTAATATAGAGAGCCCGAATTGAAGAGATTATGATAAGATCTGTCATTTCAACATTATCAACACCAGTACCACAAAATGTGTTCCTACTGTGAATATAAGATCTACGTAGACCTAATTTACGATATGGCCACGAACTGAGGGCTATGTGTGAACATACAGTTTGGTGAAGAAAACCGCGTTTTTCTGTAACTTGTTATGCCTGTTTAAAACATGGTGTAATCTTGATGTAAAACTTGAAATGATTATTTCATCAATGTATTTTTTTTATCTATTTTACCTAAGTCTGTTCTATGGTCTTGAACTTTTTATATTTTTAATTTTACTTTTTTCTATTTCTAATATAAATGTGTTTTTATTGGTAGAATATACTTTAAAATATTTACACACACGTAACACTAATCATTCAGTAGTTGTACGTAATAATTCTTTATAATATAACGTTGTCTCTAACTCTTTAAGATTTTAAACTAATTTAGTTGTTTAAGAACTTTCTTAAGTAATTTCTTTTCATAAATTGAATGTGCTTAGCACGAAAACCTTTTGCTAATAATTTACAAAACAATAATTTATGTGAAAGTTCATAACTTTAATCGTGAGAAAAAGTACACTAGACTGCAAATGTTCCCCCGCCCCTGTTAATTAGTCCATCAATGACTAATTAGCGATTTCTACTCAGGCCTTATTTCGTTCAGTGCCAGAAATATCGGTGGCACGAGGGATGATGACCATTAAAATATGCTATTTTATATGTAGCACGAAAAACTTAATGTTACTGTCTTCAGCTGACTGCTGATTTTAAATCCCTAAATGATTAAGTTTAAATACCGAGAGAAACATTTTTGCTCTAGCATGATTCCTATCACAACAGTAAGCAAGCCTAACTTTTAAAATAGGTTTGTTACTTCGTCAGCGTTTAATGCAGAAGTATTAACATAACTTACCATCAGTATATTTCCAATTTCACAAAAATACGGTTGTTCAATTAACACTTCATTACTTTTAAACTAACAGGATCGAGAATTTGTCGAGATTGAAACTCCCCATAATGGTCAACCAAATCGACTTTTGTCCACGCCTCCTCTATCTCCAGCGACATCTGTCTCATCTAGCAATAACCCTTTACGTTCCTGTTGTGGTAGGCGCTGTGGGCGGAAAAAATATCAGGTAATTAACTATTACTTAAAACCTTCGGTTAAATTTTAAATCATCAACATACGTTACAGCTTAAGGTTGAAAAATAAAAATAATCAAATTGTTAAAATCTTGAATAATTTAAAATTTCAGAAGCAGAATAGTTAAAACCAATATAAACAACGTTCTGAAAATTTCATTAGGTAAGAACATTAAGTGATTTATAAGATATAGAAAACATTATAGAGGGCAGCATATGAGTGAGATGGTATACGGTAATTTTCTTTCTTTGAACATTAAGTTGCACGTGTACAGAAGACTTTATATATGTTAAGATACATAAAATTACTTACTTGTCTTATACAAAAATATCGAAAGAGAAATACCTACTTTGACAACTTGTATTGATGCGTAGCGCCTTCTGTGTCTAAAAATAAAAGTAACAAATTACTCACTACTTTATTATCTATGTTTCTAACAATATACACAATAATATGGGTTTAAATGCCGAAAACTGGCGAAGCATCAGAAACCAATAGGCCTATAATTTACCAGTAAATTGTCCAAGTTTAAAACCCAGATTTCTAACAATGTAGTTAACTGTTAATTACTTGGGGTTTTAACAACGTATTTACCTGTTTATTACCGGAATTTTTGACAATGTATTCACTAGATTTCTAACAATGTACTTAACTGTTTATTACTTGAGGTTTTAACAACGTATTTACCTGTTTATTACCGGAATTTCTGACAATGTATTCACCAGATTTCTTACAATGTCCTTAACTGTTTGTTACTTGGGGGTTTTAACAACGTATTTACCTGTTTATTAGCAGAATTTTTGACAATATATTCACCAGATTTCTTACAATGTCCTTAACTGTTTATTACTTGAGGTTTTAACAACTTTTTTACCTGTTTATCACCGGAATTTTTGACAATATATTCACCAGATTTCTAACAATGTACTTAACTGTTTATTACTTGAGGTTTTAACAACGTATTTACCTGTTTATTACCGGAAATTTGGACAATATATTCACCAGTTTACTGCCTGGACTTTAACAACCTATTCAATTGTTTATTACGTGGGTTTTTAACGATGAATTTACCCATGGTTCTAAGAGTGTATTTGACAGTTTATTATCAGAATTTCTGATGTAGATAAAATATATATCATCGTTTCAATTATTTCTTTTAGTTTCACACTCTTTACCACTCACTCCTTCCTTCCTGATCCAATGTTTCCATGTATTTCTCTCACTTCTTTTACAGCCCGTCTCGGAGTGGTCGCCCAGAAAGGTGGGTTATTTTTAAACTGACCACTAAGTAGTACCTGTTATTATGTAGACTTGAATCACTAAGGTGGTATTTTTTTATAAACTGACCACTAAGTAGTACCTGTTATTATTTGTACTTGAGTCAGTAAGATGGGACTTTCTTAAACTGACCACTAAGTAGTACCTGTTATTATTTGTACTTGAGTCAGTAAGATGGGACTTTCTTAAACTGACCACTAAGTAGTATCTGTTATTATTTGCACTTGAGTCAGTAAGATGGGACTTTCTTAAACTGGCCACTTAGTTGTACCTGTTATTATTTGTACTTGAGTCAGTAAGATGGGACTTTCTTAAACTGACCACTAAGTAGTCCCTGTTATTATTTGTACTTGAGTCAGTAAGGTTGGACTTTCTTAAACTGACCACTTAGTTGTACCTGTTATTATTTGTACTTGAGTCAGTAAGATGGGACTTTCTTAAACTGGCGACTAAGTAGTATCTTCTTATACCACTTCTTATACCATAACATACTTCCAAATATTCAATTCTCAAAAATACTCAGCTCAAAATCTTCTAAAACAACCACTTCTTATACCATAACATACTTCAAAATATTCAATTCTCAAAAATACTCAGCTCAAAATCTTCTAAAAACAACCACTTCTTCATTTCTCAAAATATTCAGTCCCCATACTTCAAAACGTTCATTTCACCAGACTTTAAAATACTCAGTCCCCATACTTCAAGACGTTCACTATCACATATCATCAGACGCACCATGTCCCACAATCGTTCATGTCCTATACCCAAAACATTCATTTCACCAGACTTTAAAATACTCAGTCCCCATACTTCAAAACGTTCACTATCACATATCATCAGACGCACCGTGTCCCACAATCGTTCGTGTCCTATACCCAAAACATTCATTTCACCAGTCTTTAAAATACTCAGCTCCAAAAGGCAATCAACTCCCCGTAAGCAAAGTATAACTATTGAAGGTTCCTGTGTCACTTCCGACATTATGATGTCATTCATTATTGAAGGTTCCTGTGTCACTTCCGACACTATGATGTCATTCATTTTCCCAGGGGCACGTAATCTGATTACATACATTTATCTGTACTTGGTCCTGAAACAAAGTTTACAACAGAGAAACTTAACTATATACACCTTTCATTTAGTTTAAACAATTACCAAGCTACAAAAACAACACGAGTAGGAATGGGCGGAACGATGGCCACACCTACTTTGAGGTTGCACCGTGTCAAAAACCACTAAGTGTTGTAATGTTATCTCGACCATTCCTACCTTGTTTCCTTACATTTTTGGTGCTCCCATTTCTACTTCCTAATTTTTTATTTAAAATTTTTTACACTTGTATAACATTAATTTCGCAATACTTAAAATATTGAATTCCAATACCAATGATAATTTAACTCCCTATAATTTTAAACATTTACCTTTAGCGATCCATGTTTCCTTACGTGAAAACAACTTATAAATGTCTGAAATAGTTAATAAAGTAACGACTTCACAATCATTCCTGAAACATGTGAAACTGGAGTCTTTAGTTTCTGAAACAGTGAAAAAAAAGTGAAACATGCCAATTCGTCCAGGTAAATAATTGGCCCTATACACTAGAGCAAGTAAAAATTAAAATAAGTCTTTTTTTTTGTTTTGTTTACTCATATAAAAATGAGCACTCTACCGAGACTTCGGTAAAACACAATTTGAAAGAACAATTAATGTAATGGCAGGAAGACTCTTAATGTTAATAATTATATGTAAAAATTAAAGAGTAGATTAGGCAGAATAAGTTTCTGAGATTGAATACAATCATTTAATTAAATAACCTTTTGAAGCTTAAATTAATAAGATAATATTTGAAAAACGTGAGTAAGGCCTCTAACGCTTCCATCTGTTGGTAATTTTGTTTATTAGCATATTTAGTTATCCCATTTTTAGAATCTTAGTATTATTTCTTATAGGTTTCTGTTTTTCGTCTTCTTTCAGACTGAATTTGGTGCTTTTCTTTACCCACCTCTTCTTTTGTTTTTGAAATGTTTTGAACACCACGAGTTCTTATTTAACGTACGAACTTTTTCTCTTTTAACAATTGGAACAAAGCATTGACAAAACCATATGTGCTGCCATCTCTTGGCAATATTTAACGTAATATTATTGCTACTGCTCTTAGAAATTAGAAGGATTATGACAGCCAACTTTTACGACTTTTATTAACTAATATTGGTTTCGAACATTAAAACCGTGAAACATCAAAAACAATGTTTGTTTTCTAAAATAATTGTTGCATCAATTATCACTCACTTTTATTGTTCAATGTTATTAGCTAATATATATTTATATGAATGATTATAGGTATTATTTCTGTTGTTTTTAATTTAATCTTAATTAAGGATAATTATATATATATATATATATATATAC